TTCCTTATGTTCTCGTATTTGAACACTTGTTCATTACAGTGAATATTATGGAAACTCTGCGACGCATTCCATTATTCACGACTTCAGGTAGCAATTCAAATCACTGATTTACAACATTTGATTGTAAAGGCCCTCAGTTGCCACTGTTTTATTTCAAACCATTCAAAACCAATAATCCAGTTTTACTTTGCCAACTTTGGGAACGCCTTTTCATCTATTTATCCATTTGTTTCTAGTATATAGTATCATCGTTCATTTATAAGTGTATTTTCTGTATTTCTCCCATAGCATCTATTTCTTTTTTCATTCCCAGTTCATAAACTACACAAAATACCTCATATCCATGATTTTATTTGACATTTCACTTTTCAGTACCTCATGAATTTGGTAATTTTCCCCCTCATCACTTGGCTGAGCTCCCCATACCTCATAACTTTTCTTTCTTCTCCATAAACTTGATTCCACCTCCTACTTCATAACCCTCGTTCTAAAATACAGCAGGTCCCCACCCTCGCACGCACACAAACACACACACACACACACACACACACACACACACACACACACATTCACACAAACACACGTGTATGTGTGTGATCAGAGTAAAACAACAATGCACTATTTCATCTATGTTTAGTTTATTCCTCAGAGCTCAACCTCATTCCAAAATACCAGAGCATTTGTCACGATAAAGCACCGGGAACTATACCACAATCCCCGAGTTACAAGGCAAGCAAAATCGTCTGGAACAAAGGAGAGCAATTTGGGACACAAATTCTGCTTCGATGACGCTGGAAGTATGTCTCGAAAACATAGCATCGTGAGTATCACTGACTCACCATCCCACCCGATTTATTCGTCTCGTCCTCCATTACTCAGCCTTGTCATGAGCTCACTATCCCTCCAGATCCACTCAGCCACGTCATGAATTTTCTATCTTTCCAGATTCTATACTTTGGGGATTCACAAAGTATATCGCTGTCCATCCATAGGGGTTAGGAAAGTTATTAATGAAAATCGCTAAATTCGTATTATACGTACTTCTCATGGAGATTTATTATCGAAAACTATGATTACGTGTCTTGTTATAGTGGAATTATTAAGACTCGTTTGTACTCTTCTGCTATCATCGTAATGAACATTGTTTCCCCATTCTATCAACTCTGACCTAAAAATCGCCATTCTAACTTCCCTTTCTGTTGCTAGTTTTCCATCCTTACTAATCCCTATTGATGAGAACTTTCCATTCCTACTGATTCCTCAATAATATCAATGATAATGGTGATAATGATGATTTTGATTATAATTGATGATAGTAATAATGATAATTACTGATAATATCGATGATGATGATGGTGATATATGTATATATATATGTATATATATATATATATATATATATATATATATATATATATATATGTGCATATATATATATATATATATATATATATATATATATATATATGTGTGTGTGTGTGTGTGTGTGTGTGTGTGTGTGTGTGTGTGTGTGTGTAAATATATGTGTGCATTCATTGATAATATTAATGAGTTTTGAGTTCATATAGTGAAAGTTGTTTCATTTATCCTTGTGCGCACATTAATGTTTATGTTTCCGCTAAACACAGGTTTACGCATACCCGCCCGCAACCGCTACCAGCTCCTCATCTCCACTAATCCCATCCGGGCCACCCATGCCATTATCACGTCATTAACACTTCCCTCTCTCGTCCTCGTGAACTTCACTAACACTCCCCCCCCCCCTCCACCTTCTCCTCATCCCTTCCTTCCTAATAACTCATCTGGCTTAAAAATCTTTATCTCTTTATCTCCCTTATCGCCGTCCCTGTAAAAATTCCCTCACTCTGCCTTCCCCATATGCTCCCTCCCTTGGACGATCATGAGTACTTCCCTTCCTAAAGATCTTGGTAATTCTAACCTCAATGTCCTCATCATCTCACTAACCCCCTCTCCCTCCCCCTAACCCACCTTCCCGGGGAGTATCAGGCAACTTCCTCTGAATTACCGAGAACTTCCCCACCTCCCCCACACCTTGTCATCACGAAATTCACTCCCCCTTACTACTGTTAAATTATTTCTTCAAGATCCTCAAGGCCTCGACCTCGCCCCCCCTCCCTTATTTTACGCTTCATTATCCTAAACCTCATGTCCCCCCTCCCCCCCCATCCCACTGTGCTCAGGAACTCAACCTCCCAAACCCATTCATTTTGTACACCATTATCCCCAAACCTTGCTTCCTCAAACAACTCACTTCATCTTATCTTCATTTCACATTTCTGACGACACGACGACACCCCCCTCCCCCTCCACTATTCTACTTCTTTGCATCCTATTTCATTCATTTTCGTCCGAAGATGAAACCACAATCCGTCCGAAACGTCATGATACTGAGTACCATTCTGCTCTTCTTCCGATCACCCCAACCCCGATCCTACCCCAATCCTCACCCCTCTCTCCCCTCTCTCCCCTCTCTCCTTACCTTCCTCAAGATCCTGACGACCTTCTCCCCATTCTCCCACGTGGCCTGGTCTCCTTCGTGCGAGTCGCAGGTGATCCTTTGGCTGGAGAGGAACTCGCTGAAGTTCTCGACCTTCCTCTGAACTCGAGTGAACGCCTCGGCGACCACCCTCACGCCGTCGTAGATGAGCGCTGATTGTGCCTGCGGGAGGAGGAGGACCTGGTTAGGTGTTTCGTCGGCACCACTTTGGTTGTTTGTGGTTTGAAAGTATTGGTGATGTTGGTTGTTATTGTTATCGCCACTGCAGGGATGTATAAATGCATTAATCTATTAACGGTTGTATGTATATATATATATATATATATATATATATATATATATATATATATATATATATATACATATATATATATATATATATATATATATATATATATATATATATATATATATATATATACATATATATCCATATATGTGTGTGTGTGTGTAGACATATATGTATATATATACACATACATATATATGCATATGTACACACACACACACACACACACACACACACACACACACACACACACACACACACACACATACACACACACACACACACACACACACTCACACTCACAATGTGTGTGTTAATAAAGGCACACATGTGTGTGTATATCAGCTGTTTGTAATAGCTGCTCTTTGTAAGTAGTTATATGATTCTGCAAAAACAGGAATCTGGAAAAGAAAAACTTTCAAAAACATGAGACGTGGCAAAAAGTAAAAGAAAAAAAAAGTTACGTCAGAAGTTAGTCTTTTGCATGACTACGTTGGGCGAGAGGTTGACGGAGGATGGAGAGTGATGGATATTTTTCCTTTCTTTTCTTTAATAATTCTGTAACTTTTTACAGCTTTGTAGTTTTCGTTTCGGATATTAATTCTCGTAAATAGGATAGCGGTTACGGTCTTATTTTCAGAATTGTCCTTGCGGTGCTTGAAAGGGTCATAAATGTGAATTATTCTTGAGAGACATTGTGATTTGTCACTTTGACCATTAGTAGGAGCGCAAGGAATGAGAGAGAATAAAAACTATTACAGGTGTGGTGTTCCCAGAGAGAATGAAAGAAAGGAGACGAAAAAGAAGAAGAAGAAAAGAAGTAGCAGTAGCAGTAAAAGAAGAAAAAGAAGAAGTAGAAGAAAAAGAAGTAGAAGAAGAACAAGAAGAAGAAGAAAAATGAAAGGTTACACAATTCATACAAAACCGTTGGCAAAGAATGATTCACGTACAACTTCCTAATGAGGAGAATGGATTATAATTCGAATGTCTAACACACCACTAAAGTCTCTCTCCAAAGAATTCTCTTTTGGTGGCGGAATTAGTAGTATCATGGTACCATCATCATCAGGCTCCCCCTCGTTGTGTGATGAAGGGAAGGTCGGCGTGAAAAGGAGAAGGAGCTGCATCGCCTCATCAGTTGAGAGAGAACTTGCGTCGCTGATCTGCCTTTAAGGGGTTCATCATACTCTTCTGCAGATGGTTTTATTCACAGTTATTCACAGTGCCTCTCGTTCGCCCACAAATTAGTTATACACGCACACACACACACACACACACACACGCACACACACACACACACACACACACGCACACACACACACACACACACGCACACACACACACACACATTATATATACATATATATATATATATATATATATATATATATATATATATATATATATATATATATATATATATATATACGTATATAAAGAAAGAATGGAAGAAAAAGAAAACAGTGTGCATTGGCCTGCATCCGAATATCTTCACGCGGGAGCAATGACTCCTTAGCAAAGGCGTGTGTTGTTACCTTTTTGCCTTTGCAGTCTCCTTCTCAAGCCTTTCTTAAAGTTCAGCCTATGATCTTTCGTTAAAAGATTGTGCACCAAAAGGAAGGATTCCAATTCATTTTTAAGGGTTTAGGTACTTTTTCTTTCTTTGAGTCTGACTGATATCGTTTATACTGATGAGCATTCCTGGAGGAAGATACAATGTAAGGAAAATGCGACAGTTTCATCAAATGTTGAAGGCAATCTCTGGAAATTCAGTAAAACTTTCCTCACTACAAGTCAGAAGAATTGGTTTATTTCGTTCCATGTTTTTTTTATTATTATTTTATGATTATTGCTACGCATTGCATATGGTCAGTTGTTTTACATCACAAATCAGATGAAGATCAAAATAGGAATGTACCATGAAATTAGATTTTTTTCATCACTACTGCGATATAAAAAAATGAACGATGTAATGTATGTCTGTACATGTAAATAAAAAAAATAACAGCAGATAGATAGATAGATGGATATAGATACATAGATAAAGATAGATACATAGAGATAGATATATAGAGATAGATAAATAGATAGAGATAGATAGATAGAGAGAGAGAGAGAGAGAGAGAGAGAGAGAGAGAGAGAGTGTGTGTGTGTGAGTGAGTGAGTGAGTACGTGCCGTCATCTCTATCCTCC